TGAACACTGTTAGAAATCAAATCAGGAGAAATTACATTAAGCTGACAACAGAAGAATGGAATGAATCCACATGATTGATATTTGTTCTTTTGTTGGTTAGAGTTGCATATGTGTGTTTAATGATTTTTTTCTGAAGTGTAGTGAGGAAAGCATCTTCTTTAAGTGAAATATCTTTCCAGTGTTGTTATAAATGTTAAATCACAAATTTTATGTGAAGCGGCTTTTTATACTGCTTTCACATAGTAGATACTAAAGTTAATGATAGTTATCATCATCATTTCCAGCAGCAGCAGCAGTACCCTTATCATCATATAGATAGAATCAAAGTTTTCATGCTTAGTGACTTTGAGGGAGAGGTGTGTTTGTCCATTTATGTGTTGCGTGTGTGTATATATATGTGTGTGTGTGCCTGTGTGCACGTGCATATGTGTGTGTGTGCGTGTATGGAGAGATAGAATGTTTATTTGTGTATGTATGTGTATATATACATATGTGTGTGTGTGTGTGTGTGTGTGTCTATATTTTGGCCAAAAGAATGGCCAAAAGGTGGGTAATGATTAAATACATAGGTTTGGTGATTAGATGTATTTATGACCAAATGAAGTGATCATATCTATTAAGTTTCAGGTTAGAAACTTAATAGATGTGTTTGAGTAGAATTATCCTATTTCCTAGAGCAATGAGGAGAGATACAAAAGAAATAGAAAATGGCCCACACTATGGATTTTTATGATCTTATAAGTGAGGAAGGCAGACATACCAGGAAAACACTTCAGGAATACTTAGAAAGATTTAAAGAAGAACAGTGTACAAAAGAGTGTATCTTTCCTTGAGTTCATTACCCTTCTCATGCCCTGTTTAGTAAAGGGCTGAATGTCAAGTCATGAGAATGAAAATTTCAGTACCATCCAAGGGGATACCCAGGAAGAGCATGTTAGAGGTGTTCAGCATGATGCGCCACATGAGGGTTAATACGTCCACATAGCCCAGGTCAATGCGGACCTCCTCCAACCTGTCCAGATGCTTGGTGATGAATCAGCACAGATGGTCACCATGAGCACCAGGCCAGGGCCAGACAAAGCTGAAGGGGACAACATCAGAGTGAGCTACCTCCAACTCCAGGGCACACAAGCAATCAGGCAATTTTGACTTTTTATGTTTGGAGCTTAACTGACCACAGATTTTTATTAAATGAGTTGAAATTTTCATCTTTAAATTTTCTTCTATATTCTACTAATTGTCCAGTATCACGTATCATGTTTATTATTAAAAATAGACAAATGGATGAATTAAAAATGAATATTTTTAGAACAAATGACGCAAAATTAAACTTGTATCTACCTATGACAAATCATTTGAGAGACTGCAAATGAAATCTTTAGTACTGGTGGTCATAAGTTACAAACCAGTGATTTTCTATATTTATTATATACATTTCTCCCTAAAGAAGGTTTGGATTTTCACCAGGGTGATATTTTATGTCTCAGTGGGTGGCAGAATATTGATACAGGACTATTCAAATTGGATCTTACTTTTATACCTAAGGTGCTTCCTGTTTAATTGTAGTTCATATTTGTAAAGTGTTAGTCTTCCCAGGCAGCGCTAGTGGTAAAGAACCCGCCTGCTAGTGGAGGAGATGCGGCTTCAGTCCCTGGGTCTGGAAGATCCTCTGGAGAAGGGTCTGCCAACCCATTCCAGTATTCTTGCCTGGAGAATCCCATGGACCAAGGAGCCTCACAGGCTATGTCCATAGGGTTGCACAGAGTCGGACAGCACACACACATGCACAGTCTTATAAATGACCAAATATACCTCTTAATTTTGGTTTTTCCTCAAACTACATCCAATGTACTCAATGTCAAAACTTCAAAAAAAATTTTTTTTGTTTGAGCCATCTTCCTCACAGAACTGAAAACACTTTAAGTGCAGTAATAACCTATTAGCTTTATAATTCATGTCCACAGAACATGGTGGCCCTTGGAATGAGTGGATGAAAGGATGAATGAAACCAGGTAGAGTGAAATGGCTGTGATCTCTTCCCTTGCTTGGCTCCTGACCATCTGAGCAGTTAGTAATTTTGATGGTAGGTGGTCTAACATTAGACTTAACTCTTAAAGTCCTGCTTTCTCTTTTGTTCAAGGTTGCTATAAGGTTTCTTTAGGAGTAATCGCTCTTTTTTTCCTGTATTTTTCATTCAATTGTATTGTAAAGTCAGAGTCCTCAAATAAAATAAATCAGCTGTGCTGCAGAAGCCCTTTAAGGCACACTCTGAAGAAGAAAAGAGACCTGGTGAGTGGTCGAAGATTCTAAACATTTTCACTCACCCATATATAAAAAGGAAGTTTGGGTTGGCAGCACACTTTCTGACTAGGAGTGACTTGGAGATATGGAAGGTGGGAATGCTGTTTCCTGGGTGACTGTCACATCGGCAAGTGGGACCAAAAAAAAAAAAAATTATTCCTTCATGAATAAATCCTATGCATGAAAAGGTTGGCCTTGAATATCAGTCCCAGGCTGATGTCTGATTTGCCTCTACATTCAAGAGCTTGAAACCTCATTTCAAATGTATAAACCACATTTCAAACATATAAACAGAATGGACAGACTCTAGAAGCTGGAAAAGTAAAAAAAACACTTTTTCCTTAGATCCTCCAGAAAGAACACAACCTTGTCAGTGTCTTGATTTTTGCCCCATGACCCACATCGAGAATCCCAAAGAAAGGCCATGCCAAAGAATGCTCAAACTACTGCACAATTGCACTCATCTCACATGCTAGCAAAGTAATGCTCAAAATTCTCCAAGCTAGGCTTCAACAGTACATGAACCAAGAACTTTCAGATGTTCAATCTGGATTTAAAAAGCCAGAGGAACCAGAGATCAAATTGCCAACATCCATTGAATCATAGAAAAAATAAGAGAGTTCCAGGAAAACATCTACTTCTGCTTCATTGACTATGCTAAAACCTTTGATTGTGTGGATCACAACAAACTGTGGAAAATGGGAAAGAGATGGGAATATCAGACTACCTTACCTGCCTCCTGAGAAATCTGTACACAGGTCAACAAACAATAGTCAGAACCAGACATGGAACAGCAAACTGGTTCCAAATTGGGAAAAGAGGACCTCAAAGCTGTATATTGTCACCCTGCTTATTTAACTTCTATGCAGAGTACATCATGCAAAATACCGGGCTGGATGAAACACAAGCTGGAATCAAGATTGCCAGGAGAATATCAATAACCTCAGATATGCAAATAACACCACCCTTATGGCAGAAAGTGAAGAGGAACTAAAGAGCCTCTTGATGAAAGTGAAAGAGGAGAGAGAAAAAGCTGGCTTAAAACTTAATATTCAATCAGCTAAGATCATGGCATCCAGTCCTATCACTTCATGGTAAAATAGATGGGGAAACAATGGAAACAGTAACAGACTTTATTTTCTTGGGTTTCAAAATCACTGCAGATGGTGGCTGCAGCCATGAAATTAAAAGATGCTTGCCCCTAGGAAGGAAAGCTATGACAAACCTGGACAGCATATTAAAAAGCAGAGACATTACTCTACTGACAAAGGTCCGTATAGTCAAAGCTATGTTTTTTTAAATAGTCATGTATGGATGTGAGAGTTGGGCCATAAAGAAAACTGAGTGCCAAAGAACTGAAGCGTTTGAACTGTGATGTTGGAGAAGACTCTTGAGAGTCCCTTGGACAGCAGGGAGATCCAACCAGTCAATCCTAAAGGAAATCAATCCTGAATATTCATTGGAAGGACTGATGCTGAAGCTGAAGCTCCAAAACTTTGGCCACCTGATGTGAAGAGCCAACTCATTGGAAAAGACCCTGATGCTGGGAAAGATTGAGGGCAGAAGGAGAAGGGGACATCAGAGGATGAAATGGTTGGATGGCATCACTGACTCGATGGACATGAGTTTGGGCAAACTCCAGGAGTTGGTGATGGACAGGGAAGCCTGGCGTGCTGCAGTCCATGGGGTTGCAAAGAGTCGGACATGACTGAATGACTGAACTGAACTGACCCACATCTGACTTTTGACTCATAAAACTGTAAGATAAGGAATGTGTAGTTTGAAGGCAAAGACTTCAATTTCAGCAGGGTATAGTAAAGAGATAAATCACTAAATAAGGATATTTGGAATCTAGTTTCTGCTCTTCCATATCTGGCTGTGTTGCCTGGGGGAAAGTCACAAGCTTTCTAGAAATGTATTTACTTAAGTATGAAATTCACAGGCTGGAAGAGATAATGCACCACTTCTCAGTTCTAAAATTCTCTAAGTTACTTGCAACTTGCCTTCTGTTAAAACATCTGGGATGTCAGCCAGTGGTTCAGCAAACATGTTGCTCTGTTAAATGAACTATATGGCTGACACACTAAATTCTTAACTGAAGTGACATTAAGTGTCCAGCGAGCCAATTCTTTGTCACATCCAAAGGTGGATGTAGAAACAGGAAGAACCAAATTGAAGTGGTTAAGTATGTCGGCTCTGAGGTTTTCTTCTGTGCTACCTTTTATTAATGGTGGATATTGAGCATGGTACTTAACCTCTTTATGCCTCAGTTTTCTCATTTGCAAAATGTAGGTGATATTTACCACATGGAGTCGCTGTGGGATTAAGGTATCCAGTGTTTTAAACAGTGCCTGTTACAGAGTACGTGTGTAATGAATGCTGTGCTGTGCTCAGTCGCTTCAGTCATGTCCAACTCTGCGACCCTGTGGCCCTTCAGGCTCCTCTGTCCATGGGGATTCTCCAGGCAAGAATACTGGAGCGGGTTGCCATGCCCTCTTCCAGGGCATCTTCCTGACCCAGGGATTGAACCTGCATCTCCTGCATTGTCAGGTGGGTTCTTTACACTACTAGCACCACCTGCGAAACTCACAATGAACCCTAGCTCTGACTATTTCAAAACTGTGAAGCAGCAGAAGTTAATGATTTCATAAGGCATATTCATAGACAAAAGAGCAGAATTTAGCCAGACACCTGAATACCTTTCATAAAGTAAGTTCTGACAGCTTTCCAGATAACTGGATTATTGTTAAATATGATGCCTTTCTCATGCATGCCAATGAACTGCAAGCCAAGTTTGCTGCCAAATCGAGATGTATAATGATTGTGCTTCATTACACAGAACACACTCGAGGACCTACAGAGAGAGCAAACCTTGGGGTTACTTGTTAAGGGTCAGGAGAACTCAGTGTGATGAGTTTGCTGACCTTGTGTCTCTCTTAGAAAATGTCTGTTGATCTAAATTCAGTGCATAATTTCTAGTATTCAGATTAAATTAAATGAGCACCTCCTTCTTTGTGTTAGCAAAAGAACCTCCTTCTCTGGTTGAAACATTTCTACCTACTGGCTCTTTGTTTGAGCATTACTAAAGATCAACAGACAACACACACATAGAGTTATTTGTTATTTGCCCTTCTCTAATAGCAAGTCTCTAAAATATTATCCACTAATGTGGTCAAAGCTGCAAGCCTGAAAGAAAATGCACCCTCCACACCACCATGTTTCCAGGAGCCTCCAGCCCTGAAGCAGCCCCACTCCAGACAGTGCCCTTCTCCTTGCTCCCCACCCCCACCCCCCAAACCCTGCCTCCCCGCATAAGGGAGCCTCAGAATTGGGAGATGCTGGAATAATTGAAGTCTCATGACTTTAGTCTGGAAGCAGCAGTTCTGCCTTGTACCACCCATTCCTCAGAGTCTGTAATCAGGCCTGGCCCTTCCAGGGGTATCATTCTGGGACTGAAGGATATACCTCAGTACCTCTGCCCTGAGCTTGGCTGACTTGGGTAGGCCTGGAAGCCTCTGTGTGGTGGTGACAGTTGCTCTCCCAGAGCTCTACATTCATCATGAATCACCAAGGTCTTCAGGGTCACAGAGTTCTCCCAAGACATAGGATATATTGAGCCATTAGATAGCCCTTGATGTGGCATCCGTGGGACTTTGCCAATAGCCCAGGCTTCCTTGAACTTCCCAGTTCTTCTTCCACTATTGTGCCTTCTATCCTCACTCACATGCCCAACTCTTTAGCCCTGAACTGGGTTTCAGAGCAACTAGGAAGGTGGAGGCAACCCTTCCCCACCCATCTCCTTCTCCAGGACTTATTTCCTACTCCTAATCCCAGTCTAATTTGGGCACAATAAGCAAGGAGCATTATAGAATGTTGTAAATTCCTAGCTGAAGACATACTGGGGCCTCCTCGTGTGCAGAGAATATTGTCTTCATAGGACAACGGTGTAGAATTCTTCTACAGAGAGCCTTACTTTGTCGAGATTTTTTTATTAAGACTGCTTATAAGTTAGGGTATGGCATTGGCAAGAAAAGTCAATCATTTAAATAATTTACAATTGAGAAGATAAAGAATAAGAGGATAGTTCTCTTTAGTATAAAATGTAGGGTAGTTTTATTTTTTCCATTGTATATTTAATACTGACACGAATCCAGATACTTCTATTTGTATTCCAGGGAATTAATATGATTGACACACAGATAAATTTTGCCCTATGTACAGACATCATGCCATAGAAAGGACTGAACTTATTAATTGATAGATTTCAGAATTCTAGCTATTTTTACCATTCCCCCCCCCTTACTCTATAATCAAAGCAGCAAGTAAGTCACTTGTATACTCTTACTGCACAAACTAGGGTCAACAAATTTTAAGTTCTTAGAGGACAAACAGAATACTATTATTCCGCTCTGACATTTAGAGCTTTTGGATATATCATAAAACGCATTGGTGTGTCCAAATGTTTTGATGAATTCTGCCCAGTTAAAAACTTCAACCCACAGGGAGCCAAAACCAGTGCTCTGTGACAACCTAGAGGGATGGGATGGGGTGAAGTTGGAGGGAGTGTCAAGAGGGAGGGGACATATTTATATCCATGACTGATTCTTGTTGATGGATGGCAGAAACTGACACAGTAATGTAAAGCAATTATCCTCCAATTAAAAATTTGTTGTTGTTTAGTTGCTGAGTCATGTCTGACTCTTGTGACCCCATGGACTGTAGCCTGCCAGGTTCCTCTCTCCATGGAATTCTCCAGGCAAGAACTCTGGAGTGGGTTGCCATTTCTTTCTCCAGGGGATTTTCCCGAGCCAGGAATTGAACCCAGGTCTCCTGCATTGCAGGCAGATTTTTTTTTTTTACCAACTGAGCTACAAGGGAAGCCAATTAAAAATAAATAAATTAAAAACAAAAACTTCAACCCAACTTAGTGTTAGCTAATAAAGAGCTAACGGTTAAATCAAGTGTCCACCAGGGGGCGCCAATATCTCAGTTAGAGACAGATCTGAGTCAGGCTCTGACTTGGCAAAGAACAAAGTAGGCAAGACAGAAATGACATACACTTCTTTAGGGTTTAAAATAAATAGGCTGGATAGATCAGGAAAATGATGAAGGGAATGTTGGTGAGGAGCTAAGGACACCAGCCCAGCGCTCTCCTGACACTCAGGAGAACTGTAAAGACCTCCTTCCCTCAGCTGGGCCAGCCTGTAGCAGCAGGTGAGGGAGATATTACACTGACTGACTGAGGAGAGATCAGAGAATCCACAAGCTCAGAATGGATAGTGGACAGTGTAAGATGCCCGGTCCCTGGAGTCATTATCCTTCTGGAAACATGACTGAAGTCAAAAGCCATCTCCAAAGATGGCAAACCTATTGTCTCTTCAAAATAAAAAATAACCAGGAAGTTAGTGTCGGTGGTAAAGAGAAGCCACCCTCATTTCTGAGTTTAAAGAACTCACAGACCTGTGGTGAGGTTCAAGATTGATGAGTACTAGAAATATGGGGAGACAATCAATGGAATAACTAGTACCAAGCATTCAAAAAACACTTGCTTCCTGTAGGCCTGTTCTGTGCTGTCACTGACACTCCATCAATCCTATCATGTTTCCCCTTTCCTTTGCCCTCTAATATTCTTACTCAGTTCTCATACTGAGGTCACTGCAAGAGAAAGTGAATATTAACAGAGAGACCTGACTGCAGCCACCCTAAGCTGATCAAATTTAGTATCCATAATATTGAAAGGTTGTTGCTGAACGATAAGATGCGGGATTCTTGGCCTCTGGAGGAGACAAATTCAATCCGGGGCCAGAGATGAGGCTGGATCACTCAGAGCTTTTGTGTAATCAAGTTTTATTAAAGTATAAAGGAGATAGAGAAAGCTTCTGACATATGCATCAGAAGGGGGCAAAAGAGTACCCCTTTGCTAGTATTAGCAATGGAGTTATATACTCTCCAGTGAATCCAAAGAATGTCTGGAGGTTGTAAAGACCTCACCAGACCTACTCCCATAATTTACATTTTAAGATAACAGAGTTGGCCAGAAGGTTTAATCCAAAGATTGTCCTCAGGCAGGATACATTATTGTTATATAGTCACTCACAATGAAAAGAAAGGAATGTCATAAAACTTAGAATGGCACCAGATAATTCATCCCTGGCCATACAACGATTGACTTGAATCTTGTAGAAGGGCAGATTACCAACAAATAGTTTCATTTACATAGATTAGGGGAACAATACCTGAGTAAGTAGGTTGGGCCATTTGGTGGAACCAACTTGAAGATAGAGTCATAGCTTAAGACAATATTTCCATAAGAAAAAGAAATGTATTGGTTAACTCAGCTTCAGGTGAAACCAGGTGTCATGGCAACACAGCATTTTAAGAGAAACCTCCTTTTAAATTTGTATAGAGAAGAAAAAATATCGCTGGTTTGTTTCCTCCTGCCGCTTAAGAGAGATAAAAATGTCTGGCACTTGCAGCCTCTTTCCTCTGTTTGGAGACCCCTGGCCTTCCTGCCTGTTACCCTCTCAATATGAGATCACCTTCCCCAGTCTCTTGATGTGATGCAATATGAAGTGTACAGGATTAAACAGGAAAGTATTCTTACAAGTTAGCCTGAATCAAGTTGAGCCTAACAGACCTGGTGTTCAGTTTATAAGCAATACCAGGAATAGAAGAGTATGTTCAATGACATCATAATGAAACATTAAAAGAAATATGGAATGTGGGACATCCTGTAAGACAACTGACATGGTCTCTTCAGAAGGTCAAGGTCAGGGGACAAAAAGTAGGGCAATTGTTCTTCAAACTTTCCTGTTCATTTGAATTTTTCTTATTAGAAAGTTAGAAAAGTATCTCTTGTCTATAAGTAAAGTCTCTCCCTTTCATGCATCCTCAACTCCCTTGAGCCTCTGCTTAATTTGTCCTGGTTGCCTTGTAAAAACTCAACCCTGGTTAAAGCCAACTCTTAGTTAAGTCTGTGCTTGCACATGGTAGCTGAATGGGGCTGGAGAAAAGGCTATTGATGCACGTGGATACGGGCTTCCTAGGTGATCAGTGGTAAAGGACTTGCCAATGTAAAATGGTAAAGTCTCCGGCCTGCCAATGTAGGAGCCACAGGAGGTGTGGGTTCAATCCCTGGATTAGGAATGAGCTAATCTCTCTGTTAGTTCATCCCATTTTACTGGGGATGAACTTCCATGTCCCTTTTCAAGGCCAATTCCACATGTCACTCCTTTGTCATCTCACCTGGCACACACCTTCTTTCTGCTGCATCAGTGGTTTTCCTCTGTGACTCATCATTCCCACCAAAGCACACATATCATAGTATCTTGTATCTCAGCAAACAGAAAGACTTGGACCAAATACCCCTTTCAGCCTTATTCTATTCCTCTGCCTCCTTTAGGGCAAACTCTTTGAAGAGTTTGTATCTGCCACCTCCAATTCTTCTCTCCCCATTCTCCACAGTGGTCACATTTTGCCCCCAGAACTCCACTGAAACTCCCCTTTGTCAAGGTCACCCTTAACCTCCCTGGTGCTAAATGCAATGCTCACATCTCTGTCTAGTCATGTGGCACTATCTGGACACTTGCCAGTTCCATCCTCCCTGACATGCGTTCCTCACCTGGCTTTCAGACCACCACTCTCTCCTGGTTTTCCCTTTTCTGTTTGGCTCTCCTCCTCAGCTCCTTTGCTAGTTTCTGACTACAGTGGAAGGTCTGGATGGTCAGAACTTCCTTCTTAATATTCCATTCAGTGGTACTAGGCAAGTCAAGTCAACATATCTGAAATGGAATCCTGATTCTTCCCCATCTGAAAGATGTTCCACCCACCTCATCTTCTATACAGCACATGTGTACCTGATAATAGTGTGGGCTCCCATCCTGGTTTGCCTGGAACTATCTGAGTTTTACCGTAAAAATCCCACAACATGGGGATAAATTTATACACTATTAAAATAGGTATATAAATACTATAATGATAGTTAGTATTTAAATTGGTAGCAGATGGGCCAGTTTGACCCCAGTTAGTGTATTAAGTGCCACTCCCTGTTATTGATGCTACCCACATTCTTCTTTATGATATTCGTGCAAACACCAATATATGCTTACGGCATGAAGTGTCTGTGGCCTCTCATTACTTACAGCACCCCTGCCTGGGGAATGGTGCGCAGTTTACCTACAGATGATCAGATGCCCTCCCCCCGCCGCGCCCAGCTGCTCAGGCAGAAGCCCGGCAGCACTGGTGCCTGACATCTCCCCCACCCACAACTCTGCAGCCCCACCTCTTCAGAAGTAAGCTGATCTAAAAGTTGGGCCATAATCTCAGCACAGTTGTAATGAAGACAGATGTCAAACTTTCAGAAGAGAAAAGAGCTGGCATATTATTCAAAGAAAAAGCTTTCTGGGGTCCAGTGGGGTCTCTTCAAGAGGTACAGGAAGTTCTGGGAGGATCTGAAGAGCAGTGAGGGAAGGAGATGGGGACAAACACGTCCTATTGCTGTGGGGAGCTCAGCCCTTAACAACAAAATCGAGCGGCTCAGAGGCAATTATAGAGAACACAGAGACTCCAACCAGAGAAAAGCCTGTGAGGACAGGACAGAGGGAGAGCTGGGAGAGCAGGGATGGAGCCGGGGGCAGGGCAGATGGTGTTCTCTGTGTCCTCAGTGCAAAGTAAGCAGCTGACAGTGTCGGGGTCGGTAAGGTCACTTTCCTGTAAGGTGCAGACTGGTCAGACGCCACATGCTGTGACCAGGATCCTATTTCAGGAATTGCCTGTGAGGTTCCTGGGCATTTATCTGGGGATCTGAGTATCTAGTGTCTGCAAGCAGTTTCTGTCCTGGTCACCTGATCCTTTCTCAGGTGCTTCCTTCTTCCCTCCAGGTCTCAGTCTTGCACCTCCGCCACCTGACCTAGACTTTAGGGGGAGAAAATTAGACAAATCCACTACAACCTTCTTCAGTATTTCCCCATACTGAAGGGAAAAGCCCTCTGTCCTGGAAGCTTCTTACCTTCTCTTCTCCCTCCAGCTCTGCAGCATGTTGCAATCACTTGGGGACCTCTAAAATCCTCTGATGACTGGGTTCCCTCCCCACTGGAGACTGTATGAGTTGGGTTTATAGCCAGAGCTGTAGGGTTTTGAATAGAAGCCAGTGTGAGAAGCACTGCTTTAGTTCTTGAGCTGCAGGTGTCATCCTTGACTTAAGTAATAAAAAGATATCTTTAGCAATAGACATCAAAATATCAAAATGAGTTTGTTTTTTAATATGAAAAAACCCCAGCCCTGATTTTTAAATATATCCCCAGTTATCAACAGGCATACTTGCTAATAATGAGCGTTTCCTCTCCATGTACCCAGACTCTCATGAATTCTCCACACATCTTCTGGTAATTGCAGGCACTGCCGATCCCCATCCAGAGGAACCTGCCATAGGAAATGAGGGGCCCAATTCCCAGAAAGTAGCCAGGACCTAGGAAAGTCATCAGATCACAATCAGTATTTCAGCACCACTTAAAAGAGCAATTGCTTAAGGTACTGCTGTTCTTGTTCCTATAAATCCAAATGTCCTTTTACATCTTCTGGTGTATGTAGGTGAGTCACACACACAAAATAATTAAAACAACAACACAGGTTAACATGAGGCTCTTCATAGCTCTATGAATTAAAAGTAGTCCAGATTCTGTACCTTACCACTTCCTTTTGATCTTAATAATTTCAGTCTGAATGGACCGGAATAGATGTCTACTATATTCTTGCTGTGTTAAATGGTATCAGTGGTGTCAGATACAAGTCAATCAGTCCCTCTGAGAATAGGAATGAAAATGAGGACAAGTGACAAGTTGACAGATTTGTCTGGTTGCCGAGTTTTGTCTGAAAACTTTGGATTTGAAAGCACCAGTTAATGGAATGGGTAGGTTTGAATTAACTTGTGATTTTGGTGTCATCTTTTTAACTGTGAGAAATGTGGTCTGCAAAGACAATGTCCAAACAAAAGGCATCCATTTCTGTTGTTGTTGTTGTTGTTTTCCCCCAGAAAGGTTTGGTTTAAGAAGAGAATCTTAAGTCAAACCTCATTAGACAAAATAAAACGAAGCATTGAGTAATGAGGTAGTGGGTCTGGTCAGTGTCTTGACCAGAGTCTGAGTCTGGTGACATGGTTTTTCTGAAGAGCAGTGGCCCTCATACCCTTGCTGATGTAGATGATGACAGAATTGTAAAGAGCGTGAATCTGGTGAGCAGCCAGGGGATTTGTTGTTGCTTATATCAGAGAATAAAACTGATAGCTTGATTTCAGGGGTGATGGTGAAAAGTTAATCAAAAGCATGTTGGAAAGATTTTAGGAGTTCTGTTGTAAAGTTATAACATTTGTATATCTTACTCCTTAATTCCATTCTGTCAGTGAATTAGTCTTGGGGCCAAAACTTACTCAACTGTCTGAGACAGTACAATGATGGTAATTTAGATAAGTCTTTGTGTGAATTATTTAAATTGGATGTCAAAGTCCAAATCTGACAAACAAGATTTATTACTTAACTTTGAAGTAGCTGAATTAATGTGGAAAAGACTGTCAGGGTTTTCTTTTTGCCCTTAAAATGGAAAGTCTTTGTTAATGTCTATATAACAAAAACAAGTTTGGGAGTCTTAGGTCAAGCAGTCTTAATCTTGTTATTATTCTAATAACACTATAAGCAGTTGACTGACTCATAGAATTTTTTATTGGACTGGGTACACATGCCTGCTATGAGGAATTCTCCCTGAAAACTGCAAAACAGTCTGATATTTCTGAGAATTCTGTTAATTTGATAGTGTAGAGTGGTGGGGTTTCTATTAGAATTATCTAGGTAATTATATTATACTCTTTTAAAAAAATTTTTAATTTTTTAAAATTAATTAATTTATTTTAATTGGAGGCCAACTACTTTACAATATTGTAGTGGTTTTTGTCATACATCGACATGAATCAGCCACGAGTGCACATGTGTCCCCCATCCCGAACTCCCCTCCTACCTCCCTCCCCATCCCATCCCCCAGGGTCATCCCAGTGCACCAGCCCTGAGCACCCTGTCTCATGCATCAAACCTGGACAGGCGATCCACTTCACATACGATAATATACACGTTTCAACACTACCCTCTCAAATCATCCCACCCTCGCCTTCTCGCACAGAGTCCAAAAGACTGTGCTTTACATCTATGTTATGTTTTGCATATAGGGTCATCATTTCCATCTTTCTAAATTCCACATATATGCATTAGTATACTGTATTGGTGTTTTTCTTCCTGACTTACTTTACTCTGTATAATAGGCTCCAGTTTCATCTACCTCATTAGAACTGATTCAATGCATTCTTTTTCATGGCTGAGTAATATTCCATTGTGCACATGTACCACAGGTTTCTTAACCATTCATCTGCCGATTAAATCACAGAGCTTGTTGAAGATTCTTTCAGGGTGTGATGTTTCAAAGGATCCACAGAGGTCACCATTTTTCTTCCACTGTCCAGGGCCTATCTAGCGGTGGCCCCACCATCACCACCACACCCAAGAATAAAAGAAAATAAAGGGTGGGATGATGAGAAGGAATCAGTTCAACATGGGAGAGAGTAGAGACAAGGATGAGCAAAGTGGAAGGGAGACAGGACAAGAGCATTCCAGAGGCATTTTCACCTTCAGAGCAAAGCTGGAATGAATTTGAATCAAAAGAGCAAAGGCAATCCTGGAATTTTACCTTGTTTTATTCCATCTTAAACTTACTTTAAAGGATACTTCTACCAAGTATATTTTACCAAAACAAAATGCAAACTAGAAGGCATTATTTATCTAAGGTATTTTAATGCTTTCATTTAACATGTACATAACATGCACATACATGTGATGATTGTTATAAAAATACTCACCTGAGTTCATTTGCTAATATATTGTGGCTTCAACCATACCCTCAGATTTACTCTTTGCCATTCAAAATTGTTTTACCCTCATGGACCAAAAACCCAGGAAAATATTCTCCTTAGATATAGAACTAAACGGTTGCATTATCTGGTATTGAGGTTGTGTTTTCATAGTTCCAAACCAACAGAAGAAAGCCAGTGATCAGCAGCATTGCAATACTGACAACAGTCACACCTTTGGCCACCATGCCAGTGACATCATAATGCATTGGGTTCATCACTTACAAAACCATCTTGTGGCCCTTTATCTCAGGGGAAGCAATTTAAAGTCCTGTAGAAATCAAGAGGCAGGAAAATTCGAGAATCCCCCAAAGGTACATCTAGGACTTCTGTTGCTTCAGAGAATGTTGTACTATAGAGATGGGTGCTTTGTTTGATAATGTGATGGGACGTTTAGACAAGACAAATTTGTGATTTCAAGTCAGAACAACCAATCCCAAGAGAGAGAGCTTTTGGTTTGAAGTGTGACCTTTCTGACCTTTGCAAAGGATCATGTTCTTTTAGATGCTTGTTCTGATAGAACCTTATCATCTTGCCCTTGAATAGGTAGAGTGACTGAATTCTTAATTAAGAGCCAAATTTCTTACTGAAGTACATGAAAATGTAACTTATTCCAGAGATGGAGTCATTCTATGACTTCATCAGCATTTTGTTTAGGCAATCTTTTCCCTGGAGGAAACCTTTTTTTTTTCTTTTAAAGCATCCTCTCACCCTCTTCCTGCTGAAAATTACTTTCCCCAAAGAGTAAGCTTTTTACGGTAATGAGAACTTTTAATTTCTCATTCTTCATTTTTCTCCTGACTCTCATCATTTTTATGATCATTACCTCAAACTTTTCAGCATGTAGATTGCTTATTTCCACTTAATTAATTTTGGGGGATTTATCTTATTATTTGATTTGGAACAGATTTCTCTATAGCCTCATTTCAATATAGCCTCTAATTCACTGTTTTTCTTCCTATGTATTTGATTTTGTACATTGATTTTGTTTCTAATCTTGGAGATTTCCTTATGAGGAAATGTCCTGTGGGCCCAGCAGTACACTGCCCTCTGGTCACCTGAGCAATATACTCTAGGGGTGCCCTCTATGTTGGCTGCATGAGTCTCTCTGTTGTGGCAGGCTGATCACTGTGGGCGTGGTGATTGACGTAGCTGCACCAAGGTCAGACGCACCCTGCCTTGTGCATCCC